ATATATATAAATGTGTGTGTGAGTGTGTGAGTGTGAGTGTGTGAGTGTGAGTGTGTGTGTGAGAGAGTGAGTGAGTGCGTGGATGATTCGTAGTATATTTGCCATAATCAATTAGCCACGACCATCTTAGGACACACTGAGGTTAGTAGCAACTCCAAGGATCTAGAAATCATGCGTAATGATTGTATGAATGGTTAAATCAATGATACGCGCACATTCTGAGAACAATAAGAATCGTGGCCACCACCTGCATACACTATTTAAGAAATGAATCAGCTTCCCAAACTTGCACCAAGCAATAGATAAATTGAATAGATTTCGAACTGAATACATACACTAGGAGTGAGCGTGTAGCTGATATACGACTTCATGCCGTGGTACTTCTTCTCAGATCGCGGTGCCCCAATCTCCACTATGAACGGCTTCCTATCGTGCCATGACGGACCCGCCTTAGAGAATCAGAGCCATATAGTAGTTTGTTAGTAAATTAGTATACGCCTCACGTATTTTACACCTGATATACAATACTGCCATTCGCCTAACTCACAGCCCCGACACACCGATAAAGCGTATGAGAGAGCTCGGGTATGGGTTGACCAACGTAGATTACGAAACACGAACGAGAAGAGATACGTACACGAACCCTCAAGAACTCCGGTGTCGTTTCACTCATGGCACTCAATATCATAATAAACCAACACCGTGCCAAACACGCATCAATACTCTATCGCCAGCACCCACAGCCCATTCCGAAATAAATACAGAATACACAGACGATTGTGGAGAAGCGCGTGTAGTCTGAAAAGACATTCAGCCGCCTGCGATTGGATCTTACCTTGATAGACATATCGTCCTTCACATCGGCGATGACTCTGCTGTTCCCTGTGTGGACATGGCATCGTAGCGCATGTGAATTTGTGGGGCAGATTTGTGGGGCAGATGTTTAACTGACGCCCTGGTAGTTCACCTGAGCAGCGACTAGATTGCTTGTATACGTCTGAAACGTCGATGTATGAATATACCTATCTGAATGTGCCAACACGCGACTAGATAATATACATGCAGGCGTCAAAAGGCACACTTCATGTAAGCTTGGTAGCTATGTATAAAAAAAAGCAAAAACCAACATATTTCCCCCATAAATACCCGCACTTCCCCAATAACCATCTACATGCTTTGCCTACCAAGAATATATTCCTCTGCGCCCATCTTGACGAAAGATGACATCCGGTTCACTGGATTGTAACTTTTCCGTAACGAATCGGCAGCCCCGAAATTCTGGTGTGAAGTATGAAGACCGATAAATCGTATGGATATGACGATGTACACAATTGGCAAAAGCCTACTGTCCATAAAAGAAGAAATGACTTGTAACAAGCTAGTATCCGAGTATGAGATTGCTGATAAATCTATCTTGGTGGGTTTTGATTCGAGTCCATACACCGTACAGGTATAGGGGAAACCCGCAGTTGCAAGTGTGAAGTGTGCAAGAGAGAATGAACTTCAAGTTGCGAATCTGCCCATCGGTCTCTCAAAAATTCGGTTTGCACCAGACGCCAATGTACAAGAACACCGAGGAGTGGCTACTACTGAAGACTTACGGCTGTAAGCAGGACAACAGAAGTAGATGAAGAACTACATACGGTTGCGTTACCGTCTGTATCGACCCGGCACTCAGTTTGACTAGAGTTCACTGACGCGTTTACTACAACCCATTACAACTTCAAAAAGTCCGTGAAGACGACTATTCGCACGCCTTTTTCTTATCTCAGTCTTCTTCCTGTGCCTCAAGTACACTTCACAAATACTGCACGCGTTCTTTGCACATAATCCTAACGCACACTGGAAACATAATGAGTATAGACTAAAGGGATATCTCTCATTTGGCGTGACCCATATTCGCTATACCCACTACCCAGGCATGTTGGTCACACACGCCCCACTTATCAATCACATACCTCACGATTATTTGGTGCAAACATGCAAACCCACTAGACGAGTATCTCACGAATACTTAGACACACCTCACGCCTAGCCGGCATCACTGGGGCAATGCCTACCGACGGCTCTAGAATCGAAGGAGGGAATGTATTGGAATTACAGCATCTTAGTCGACACTCAGTGTGAGGAAAGGTTGTAAAAAGTAAAATTAACAATTCATAACCGATAAGCCCGCTGCATCAATATACGAAGCACATTAATAGAGTCTTATACCGCTTACTTGTAACGAGTTGTGTTTGCGAACTTCCATCGCCCATGCTGCCTGCCGTATCCTGAGGATCCAGATGGGACGTGTGTTCAATTGCGGGCTCTGGTTTGTAGTCTTCGATGATCTGCCATATCAACATACAAAGCAAAAGCAGCTCAAGCCAGCGGTTCAAACGTGAAGACAATTTGGGATCAGACATAACAACACCGCATAGCGGCGGGGACTTCTAACTACACGTACACCTTAAACCAGCACGAACGTCATCTGGACCCCAAACTGAACCTAGAGGCACGATCCCCTGTGAGTACAAACCACAACATCAAACTCTGCTCTGAAACACCGACCGCAAACACACGCATACCTCAACGTATGATTCAGGAAAGATGCCAACGTCCCCTTCGCATTCGCCTTCCCACCAGCCGTCATCGGCCCCCATATCCAGAATCTTAACAATCTGTCCCTTTGTAAGATCCAGCTCTTCTGGCCCCTCGGCGACGAAATCATACCTTACCGTGGCTTTGAGCCCACTGAAAAGACGTAAATTGGCAACATAATAAAAAAGACCGAGCAAATTGAGCGACAAGCTGATACTTATTAATATTCGGATGCTTCAAAGACAAGGGTGCAGACGCCGACGATAGCGTGTATGTATAGACAGAGACTTGAATCTACATGATTAACGTCGATAAGAAAGCTCGCTTAAGGGTCGTTGTTGGGAATGTTTGCATGTATTCCAGTGCGATCATTAATTCTTATAGATAGATATATATAT